CGCTGTTACTGCCTACAGTGATTCACTTTCAGTTGTATGTGGTGATTTCAATTCATGTGACTGTAGCTTCCTTACGTCACTAGGTCACCAAAATGCAGTAGATTTTCCTACCCGTCTGGATGCTCATTTAGACTTCGTCTTCATTAATGATGTGGGTATATATGCGACTCGTAAACGTGCTCCATTGTCTAGCTCAGATCACTGTATAATTCGTGTTCTATCTAAAGTATATGGAAAGCATGGGAAAAGTACACTCCTACGTCAAACCAGAAAAGTCAAATATAGGAATTACTCAGTCTTCAGTAATAAGGATAGGAGGTCTGTCGACCTATATTAATCCTTGCAGTTTGTAATACTGTGGAGGTCCAATCTCGTTTTGAATATATTAACGGACGGTGCTGATATCACTTGTTCCGGTAGAGAATTCTAGTAATTCACTACTCGGTGCGAGAAACGGAACCCCAGACGTAAACGATTTGATCTCGGTTTTTGAGCTTTCTTCGAATGTCCTCTCAAATGATCGGTTCTAGACAGAAGCAAAAGATAAGACATGTTAATAACAAGGTCATCGTTCAGTATACGATAGGCCAATATTAGATCACCCCGTATTCTACGGTAAGATAACTGAAATAAGTTAAGGTGTCTCAGTCTGTCTTCATAAGATAGGCCAGATAGACCTTGTACCATCTTAGTAGCTCGTCATTGGACTCTTTCTAGCATATCTGCTTCATACTTGAAACAAGGACACGCTGCTTGAATCCCGTATTCTAAATGTGGTCGCACATAAATCGGGTATAGTAATTTAAACATTTCATCATCTAAATACTGGAAAGACCTACGAATTGATCATAATACCCTATAGCCTTTTGCAGCAGCAGCCTTACACTGACTAGTGGTTTTGCGATCATTGCTTAATATGACTCCTAAATATTTATAGTTTCTTGCTTTGGGTAGCACGAATCCACGTAGTGTATGGTGATACGATTCATCAGAGTTATTTAACTGCATCACTACACTCTTATTAGGATTTACTTCTAGTGACCACCTGTCTAACCATGCCACCAATGAGCTAAGATCGTCCTGTAATACTATTCTATCCGACATACTATGTATGGGTCTCCAAATCTTTATGTCATCAGCGGAGAGTAGAACGGATGATTTTGCTACAGTTGGCAATTCATTTACATAAAGTAAAAAGAGAAGAGGACCTAGGATTGTGCCTTGGGGAACCCCACTTTTTACAGGTACCCACGAGGAGAGAGCCCCATTAACCCTTACCCTTTGTCTCCTGTCATGGAGAAAGTTACTTATCCAATCGACGACTGTGTTATGGATTCCAAAACGTTTCAGTTTGAATTTAAGACCAGAGTGTGAAACCTTATCAAAGGCTTTACTTAGATCTATGAAAATTACATCCACAGGAGCATTCCGATCCTTTGCCGCAGCCCACTCTTCTCGTGCAATGAGAAGATTTGTCAAGCAAGATAGGCCTTTCCGAAAACCATGTTGTGCCCTGGAGAAAAGATTTTGCCCTTCAACATAGTTTATAACAGCTATCCGAATGATTTTCTCCATCAGTTTCACAACTGCACTAGTTAAGCTAACGGGTCTATAGTTACTAACTAAATCCCTACTCCCAGCCTTATACACCGGACTTATTATGGCGTCTTTCCAGTCTCTAGGAAGTCTGGACTGTCTCAGAGACATGTCGAATAGTATCGCTAATGGTTCAGCAATTTCATCTGATATGGCTTTCATAATCCTAGGATGAATATCATCGGGACCACTGGACTTATCAGGTTTGAGATGCTGAAGTAGCCTTAAAACAGTATCTTTCTCAATGACTACAGGATCCATCAGCGAGCCGTCACGGTCACGATGAATCATTGGTCGTTCCTCATTACCGATAGAAAACACTTTACTAAAATATTCCGATAAAGCTTCAGCTTTTTCGGCATCATTCTCTGCTAAGATTAACGGATTGTCTCGTATCAAAAGTGATGGAATTCCATCGCTTCTCTTAGTTCGCCTTTTTATATACGAGAATAACCGTTTCGGACTATATCTAGAATCCCTAACCAATTGTTTTTCGTATGAACGTCTAGTCTTGCTTATTAACGCTTTACAGGCATTCCTAATCTTACAATAACTGGATTTGTATTGTTCTAAGCCAGTAGAGATGAACATATTCCAGTGATTCTTCCTTTTTCTAAGGAGTTTCCTGACCGTTTTAGTTATCCATGGTGGACTATTATTCAGTCTTCGCGGTACCAGGTATGGTATGAACGGGGACGTAACTAGTCTAAATTTACCTTTAAATACAGACCATGCTTCTTCAACTGATATGCTAGTATCTACTAACCAATCTGTCTTAGCAGCGCATTCCTGAATGGCTGATATGTTAGCTTTCCATACATTTGGGCGCGGTGTAACCTGATCGTATAACATGTCCCTAGTTCTAAACGCGAATGACAAAACAGCGTGATCGCTGTTTACTAACGGTGAAAGAATATTTAAGTCGACAATATCCTCAGTCTCATGAGTGATTACCAAATCCAGCAGAGAAGAACCCTGGTTAACACCAAAACTCAGAAGAACATATCCGAAATCTGAAAAACATGTTTCATACGACTAACTGAGAATTATTTACAGATGACTCACTCGAAAACACTACTGATGATATCACTTGTTACCTTAAATTCTGTTTTGATATTTGTTGTCCCACTGAAACCATTTTTGTAAGTTTTGATCGACTTACATCTTCACAACTAAAACGACTACGAAGGATGAAAGAAAGCATGTACAAGGAGAAGAACTCTAATGAAGTTCGTAAAATAAATGGTCTGATAAACCTAGAGATTAGACGTCTCAACTGTATGTTTACTCAAAAGCTCTTATCTTGCAAATCTCTCCAAGTATGTGGAAATTTTTTAAAGAACTTACAGGTGACAGAAAGTTTAGAAGCGATAACCAGCTGAATGTTTGTGACTTAAATAAGTCTTTTGTACGTCAGTCATCTGATGTGATGCTCCTTTTATTGATAGGTTTAAATAATAGCTGTGTCCCCAGTTTCACTGAAACTGATGTACGAAGATGTCTCCAGTCGCTTAATTCATCTCGATGTTTGGGACCTGATGGTATCCCAAACATCCTTTTCAAAAAGTGTACTGACGTCCTATGTTATCCGTTCACAACTATCTTTAACAGATCCTTCTCATCTAGTCTCATACCGAAAATGTGGAGAAATATGAAGATAATCCCTGTACCCAAGAAAGCATCTGGTAATAAGAATGTAAAATTTAGACCTATTGCAATAACTTCACCCTTCCTCAAAACGATGGAAAAATTATTAATACTTCCACTTCAGCCTGCGATAAAAGAGCATATTTATCCATATCAGTTTGCTTACAGATGCAAAAGAAGCACCTTATATGCTGTTGCTGTTCTGCATCACAACATAGTGTTCAACTTAGAAAAGGGTAAGAAGTACGTCCGATGTGTTTTTCTGGACTATACTTCAGCTTTTGATTCTATACCAAGACAACGTTTACTTAACAAATTAATCAGCGTCAACACTGACAGCTGGATAACCAACCGGCTATGTTCCTACCTCTCTGGAAGGGAACAGTATACTGTGTTTGGAGGAAAGTGTTCCGAGTCTCTACTGTCTCATGAAGGTGTACCACAAGGAGCTGTTCTTTCACCTCTTCTTTTCTCCTTTTTTCCTGCATGATCTGCCATCTTCCACAGGAAACACTTTTGTGAAATATACGGATGATCTCATTGTATGTATGCCTATCTCTTCCTCTTTACATCCCATAGAAATGAATGAGTTTTTGTCTCGTATTGATTGTTGGTCTGTTGGTAATGGTCTCATACTTAATCCGTCTAAATGTCAAGCTGTTAACTTTAGCATGAGACATGAACGGAATCTAAACACCATTTTGAGATCCCATAATGCTTGTACCATCGGAGACTCTTTGATAGCTACAGTGTCGAAGGTCAATTATCCTGTTGTCCCCTTTTCTTCTGATCTCTCTTGGTCTTCCCACGTTTTATTGTTAATGGAATAAGGTTTTCCGTCTGACTTACTACATAAAGAGACTGCATGCTCTTGGGATTACTCGTCATTTACTCCTACAATTTGTCAATTCTTGCATATTACCTATTATTCTTTACTGTTCTCCATTATTCTTTCTCGAGCTTTTGAGAAAAGACTTTGCTGTATTGCGGAGAGTGCTGAAGGCAGTTAGCAAGATGTGTGGTGAATCTTTCGAAGTCATAATTAATATGGTTGTGGATAGATATCTAAAGTCATGCAAACTCCTGGCAGGTGTTATTTTATCAGACACTAACCATCCCCTTCACTCTTATCTTTCTCCTTGTATATCTTCTGGTAAAACGAGACGTAGTTACATTACAATCCGTGTTTGCAAGCAAAAGTATGAAAGTTCTATAATACCTTACCTAGCAAATATACTCTGTGACGAACAGGATGTTAGAGTTAACCTAGTCAATAACCTGCATTCTTAAAATGTCTTTAATTTTAAATGTTGTACAGTTTTTCGGGTTATTTTTTTTAAACCTTTTTATGTATTTGTTACTGTTTTTTGCGTAAGTAACTTGTTGAAATACCCTGTGCTGAGAATTCTATATTGTACCAAAATATAATATTGAATAAAGCCAGTAATAATAATAATAAATTCTCCAGGCTGTTATTATGAGCTAAAATTAATTACAATCGTTAACGACTGACTTTGTCATATAAATCACTTTTACGTCCGTTCATTCATGACGTCATAAATCAAACTGCACTACTGGAAGTCAACGGCAATCTAGCTTTTTAGACCAAAACACAGTTCATCGAGCTAAACAACCATTTCACAGTTAGATTGATAAATCACATATCGACACTGAACATCTGACTGTTTTTCAGCCCAAACTATTCCTGTCTGGCCAATCGCCTTTTTATTTACGATTTTATTATCCTATTTCAGAAAATGAACGAATTTTCGGTCTTATATGACGATGTTTGTCAACGTGTTTCACGATCCCTTACGGAAGCACTGAAACCGTTTGACGGTATCGATACAGTTGCTACTCATGGTGGATATAATCCAGTGTATTTAGAGGAAGTGGGGCGTCCTGTTGTCCCGCCAATAACTTTGTCGTCTACTTTCCAACAGCTTTCTCCTGGTGTCGCAAAAGTAATAAGGTCTTGTTCTGTATTAACTTTTTTAAGTATGACTATTCTAGGTCTGGGAATTTCTCTCGGGAGTGTTTGGAAAAGTGCATAGCATCTCTGGAAGACGGCCATGACTGCTGTGTCTTTAGTTCTGGTCTTGCAGCCTTAGGAACTCTCATTCAGGTCTTATCAAATGATGACCACATCGTTGCGTTCGATGATCTATACGGAGGTTTGTTATTTTAACATTTTGATTTCTATTAACGTGTCTTAGAAGTCAAAAACAAATTATCTTTTATATAGTTGGTCAGTTCATACCTACACTGTTACCCCTGTGAAATGTTGACTACTTTAGACCGCTAAATTAAAGTTCGTTTACTAATTTACTTAATGCAATGACTTGTAAAACAATTTAAGTTTTTCCAGTTAACGATAAATGCAGAATAAACTGATGAATTCTGTATTAGAAACACTTAGCACATCTTTGTGGCGAATTATGTAACTTAATAACCTTACACTGGCTCATTTTAACTACAGAAGAGAATTCATATGCAAATATTAGAAAGTCTGCCTAACCGCTTGCTCCATCAGTTTCAAATCAATACATACTAGCCAAAACTGTGGCTTGTGAGTCCGATGGCTTTGGGTTTCAAACGTTAGTGTCCAAACTGTTTAATCCCCTAAGTACGATTTGTCAACATTTGTTTCCCCATTTATTTCTGTCTTGAAATTAAAATCAATGGTTTTCAAATTGTTTAGGTATTGTGAAGATATTATGGGCTGGCAACATAAGGTGAGTCAGGTTAACTTCAGAGGCATAATCGTTGTGAATAAGAAATTTAGATTTTTACTACCATCAAAAGTACCAACTATTGGCTATTTCATCATAAAATTAGCAAATATGGTAGGAAATCTTATTTACTTGTAATTTTATTATTTAGATTGCTAAAATTATTGAGTCATTCGTAATCTTCATATATGAAACATTTTCGGAAGATCCTGTTAATTTCTTTCCCAGTCGTTACTTGTGTGAATCCAAAAATCTATTTTTATTTTCTAAATCTGAGTTTGGGAATTCATCAAGTTTTTTGTACCTTTTATAATCCACAAACTTGTCACTCTGTTCCTTTAAATTAAAACCATAGCACAATATTTGATAACATCAGTTCTCTGATGCTGATTGAAGTGGTAGATAAAATCAGAGATGCGATGGTAAAATGTGGTTCGAAGAAAAAATATCGTGTGGTGAAAAATGGCTTTCGTAGCAAGATCTTCACCTGGCTCTACCTACTGTAGTTCAACTAAATAAAAATAAGTTTTACGGAAACTGTCCAACCCTTATGAGGACGCTAAAGTATACCCACTGGCCGAGTTTGATACATACACTTCATTAGGCTTTGGAACATTTCACCCTCCGACAGCAGTTGCTTTTTCCTATTAATGATAGGGTCTGACGCTGGTGGTCATGTAGTCCTGTTGTTTGTGAAATCAATAGTTTGAGGGACCTGAAAATGTTTGATTCTGTTTCTTATTGTATTTAGTTTAACAATAGGAAGTGGTGTGATTTAGTATTTTGGATGTTCTTATGTGTCTTGAAAGGTTTATTAACCCTGATGGTTCAGTGCTCACAACTCTTTTAGTTGAAGTCTACTGGTTTGCGTCATCCGTTGCACAAATAAGATATCTTTAAAACAAACGACGTGTTAAGATAATAAATGATGTCATTGAAGTATAGTGAGGGCAACATTTGCGCAATATTGATATTTGACAATGAAAGCTTATTAACGGGACTGAGTCAAATTCATAGAGCTTCATTGTTTAAAGTTGTTAAGGATTCTCTTATATGTGTAGCCAATCACCACCCGGTTTGATGTGCTGCCTGAGACAGTGTTTTGGAGAAAAGTTATTGTCAGACAGATTAAGACTTGGTATCATCCCTTCAAGTCAGACTCTTAGGCTGAGGTATACAGAGAGATAAATGACTATATATCCATATATGGAAGAAAACTATAATTATTGGTTAGTAAATCGGGATTGAAATTTTCAGTACAATAAAGTGTCATGTTACTTGGTGTTTCCTTAAAACTTATGTTCTAAGATAAGACTTATTCTAACACAGAAATATCAAAGCAATATCAAAAGATTTTGTTCTTTGTGCGATTAAGTTTTTTATTGATACGAGATTATGGTTAATAGCTTACGACTTACTGAAGACACTTACTGATATGTACATTAAATCATGCATCAATATTTGATCCATGCTAATGCCTGAGTAAGTCGGAATTTTGTTCCCTTACTGACCACTATTTTACTAGGTCTTCAGCTTAGTTTGTTTTATAATAATTTGTCATTTCCAACTCAATAATTAATTTATATTCAGTTTGTAGTGTTTTTTTATTTGAACAGGAAATGGTCGATATCTGCGTCGACTTGCCTCGAAATCTGGAATAACAACTACTTTCGTTGACATGCGTGACTTGAATTTGTTTCAACAGGCGTTACAGAAAAACACTCGCTTAGTCCTTATAGAATCTCCATCAAATCCTTTAATGCGTCTGGTCGATATAAGTGCTGTTGCGTCTATCGCTCATGAGTTTAACAAAGAAATTATTGTTGTTGTTGACAATACTTTCATGAGTTCTTATTTTCAAGTAAGCAAAATTATTTCACTGATCACCTTACCGAGATAATCCTAAATATATGTCCCCAAACTATTTCTTTGTACAAATTTCAAGCCTTAGTTATTTGAAAATTTTATATGACAGTAGGTTCATATCCATATAAAACAAGGGTTCACTCTTCTCTAGTAGTTACATTCGTCTAAACTGAAGATTACTACACTTTTGCAGGGCACTGCATTCAGTCCGCTGAAGTATTTCATTGATAATCACTGTTTAGATATTTCTTAGACTATAATGCACGCTGTAAAATAGTATTCATCGCTGAATTTCGTTTCAATTTTTCTTTCTATTATTATGCTTGACGAAATCTCTGCATGGATTCAGAAATATTAACTAGCCTTTGCCAGCTTATGTTTCTCGTGGTACAGGCGAATTGTTTGTCCTCATACATAGTTGCATGTTGATTGCTCAGGAGTTCGCTTTGTATTGCTGTATAAATTTGAAACATGGGCCGTAAAAATAGAGTATATTAGTAGAATACTAGTATCCGGCCATAGTTATATTCGATCTCAACTATTGAAATTACTACAATCTCCACAAAACTCCTTCTGATACTAATCAACATATGCTCACTAGTGATTGGCTTCAAGATGCATATCCTGGAGTTCTAGTGAGAAGCAGTAACCAGTGGAGTTCAATCGGGTCAGTTGTGAGATAGTAACTCACTGATGACAATGGTAGATATGTCGCTCAATTTCGTCGATTAGTTGAAGTTAGACATCAACACTGTTGGATGCCGGCTCAGTGGTCTAGTTGGTTAAGTGCCTGGAGTGAGACTGACAGGTCCCGGGTTCAAATCCCGCGAGGCGGGGTTGTGGATGCTCATTGCTGAGGAGCCCCACAATAGGACGAAACGGCCGTCCAGTGCTTCCAGGTTTTCCATGGTGGTGTAGCTTCAATTGACTCATGATCTTAGCTATTGAAATTACTGCTCGTATATTGTGGAACTGAGTGAAAAATGCTGGGGTTGTGCAGAGGGTACTAGGTGAAATTGATGAATTGTTTCATGAGGCCACGATTGTTAATCGATCAAGGTGGTTGGGATGTATGTTACGTATCCCTAACCACCACCTATTTTGACGCGATGCATACCAATGTAGGAGCACCTTGGAAGAAAGTTAAGGACATATCATAAGTTTATGAAGCCGTTTACTGTTGATTTCAGCAATATTACTGAATATAGAATACTTGATCATGCTCCTCACACTAGTTGTAGCGAATGGTTGGAGACAAAAGTAAAGAGAATTAAGCGAAGAAATTTTTCTTTTCGACGAAATTATTTAATCAAACTATAAATTCGTATTCATAGTTGTATGGTATATATATGTCTACAGAAAGATAGGAAAGGTTGCATGATAAATTGATTGGAGATTCTTAATATCAAGTGACGTTACGCAATAATCAAGGGGTAAGAGAAGAATAAGTTACGGGTCAGAATTATAAAAGATAATTGTACACTTTACAGATATGGCGAAGAACGAAAAACACTAAGGTCATAATGATAAAAACGGAATAATAATCATGAAAAAAATTTTAAGGATTAAGGTTTAAAATTACAAAATACTAATTTAAAAAATAACAAAAAATTCAAAACACTACATAAAGAGAATTAGGGCCAAGGAAAAATGAGAGGTTGGGCGTATCGATTTTGCACGCAGAGTTCGAGCTTGAGTTGATGGATTGCCAATGCCTCAGTAGTGCATAAGTTTTCTATTCGACCTCGCCTCATTCCAATTTTTTGTCGCTTAATTCTCTTTATTTTTATTCATTGACACAATGCGTTATTAAAATAAAGCATTGGGTGACATGATTCGGGACAATTCGTTATAGCACAAATACATTTGGTCTTTATCTTTTTTTACATTCCAAGTTCCTGTACTTTTTCTAATTACCTCCCTTTCTTTGTTTTCTAACTATATTCACAATGTTTAATTGATTTTATTTTGGTTTCATTTGCTATTCATTTTGTTTATTTCAACTGGTTTTGGTAGTATGGTAACTTCACCCAACATATATATGCCTAGTTCTATGTTGATTACAACTGACATTATGTTACAATTTATTCTCAAAGTATTCGTGGATTCGAATGAAACCTTGATATCAATTTTAGTAACAACTCAAAGTTCGGTGATTGATGTAAGTTAGGGGCGACCAAACCAAAACGTGGCATCAGTGCTTGAAGTCATTAACTTCTAGCCTTAACCATGTTGGTAAATGCAGATTACTTGGTTGGGGTACGATTATCGTAACCAATGGTAAGAGATATAGGATGAAATGGCTCAGAATCGATCACAATGGCGTCGGTGTATACACTCTGTGTTCCCTTAAACTATGAGATTAAAATCACTTCATATCTTTCTTTCTACGAACTAATTCTCTCTTTCTGTACTATGTCCTTATATGCAATCTATCTTTCATATATTACCACCACTACTTCTATGAATCCCGTGTTCATCTTGTTGTGCCAATAAGGTATGACAACTTGGACCGATGCACATATGTGCCTGGTCCTACGTTGTAGCTGACTGCAGACTGGATGTAACTTATGTGGGTTTTTGGCATCATATTAGCACTGAATTTCGTTGTTAGAAGATATTCCATTATATCGACTCCTTTATACTCAATAAAGTGTTTAAATAATCATATGAAAGATCTGACCTGTAAATAAAACATTTTCAGTGAATATAATAGCTACATTAAAAAATGTCATTATTACTGTCCACCTGTCATTCAGGAATCATTTAAACTTGCCTTATAACTTATAAAAACAGTAACAGTATTTGTAGCAACAAATTAAATACTGGGATTTGTGTTCACTTTTTTCCATTGAATGCAATTACAATCACAATGAGTTGAGACTAAGTATCAGAATTCTTGTCAAGTTAATATTCAAAGGAGGCAACACTCATGCTAAATATCTAAAACCAGAATTTCAACGTTGTGTGATTAATCAGACATGATTGTGGGTAAACAATTATTACTTATTATTATACAATGAATGATACAGTTTTACACATTGTTTTATTATGTAAATATCGGACATTGATATATATTATGATTGAGATATTTACTTCTTGCAAATTATATATCATAAATACAGTAAAATAATATATTTGTAATATCCCAATGATACCTACGAAATTATATATCAGTTTTTTTTTCCTGTTTATGACTTCACTTCGGTCAAATGTGAGGTACTATTAAATTACATTTTATTGGCGTACAAGGTTGTAAAATCCAAACCAGTAGGAGACAGTAAAATTTCCATGGAACACCGTTGTTCTCCGACTTTTATTAGGCGATGTGCACTTTCGATTAGTGATGAGGTGTCTAATTTACTTTGTTACTACATCCATTCATTATCATTTTTTATGAGAATGTAACCAGAGAAGACAATGACATTTTGGCTATGTTAAATAATAAATTGCTGGGTCCTTAGAGATTGTTTGTAGGAAATTATTCATAAAATCACTACGAATGTTTCCCCTGTATATTGGAAATTGTGTAAATTGAAACTTGTTGTAATAGTACACTCGTTATCGTAATTAAACAACGAAAATAGTCCGTGTTATGATCACGGGACTATCCGCCTCGTAAATTATTGTTTATTTGAACTTAAAACTATTCATAAGGCGCATCATATTTAGTCATACTCCAATAATTTCGAGTATATATATATATATGTATAACAAAATATTCCTAGTTTAAAATCAGTGTTGATAAACTGGAAACATATTTCCGTTTTCAGTGGTTTTGAATATCAACCTTAAACTGTATGTGCACTTTTAATTAGTCACTGAAAATATTTTGATTTCTCGCGTGATTATAAAAAATATAAGGAAAATATAAATATAGTTTCGAGTAAACATTCATTGTAAGTTTGGAAAGTATAGTTTTAGTCATGATAAAGTAAATAATCAATAATATAATGAACATACAAGTGTAAATATGGTAGTTATTTGTTTAGTTTATAATTATTGAACAGCAGTGAAGCTTAATTTAATTAATAAAATTCTCAATCATTTTAATAGTCTTTTTGGAAAGCATGTTTTTTGTCCTAACGCGTGTTACACTCCAAAACTTTACGAATTAGCATCCTACTGGTTATAAGTTAGTAGCTATCTAAACTCAGTAGCTTAGTGAATAATCAGTCCTAGTTTGGAGCTGTAATTGACGAGTCTTAATGTGGATATGAACACTAGAATCCCGGGACATCCATTTGATTAATCCCAAATGGAAAGAAATATGCGTTTTAGGTCCTACTGCACACTTCTACTATTCAAATACATGAATAGGTGATATAAGCGTTATACCCTAACCACAAACAACCGATTTTCCACTGTTTCATTACTTTTTTAAAATAAAGTAGCAAATTATTTAGACTATTTACTTTTTTTTCAGCGTCCACTTGATCATGGAGCAAATGTTGTCTTACACTCTCTCACAAAGTATATGAATGGTAAGCTCCTTTTTCATTACAACCAACAGGTAAAATAACTTAATTTATGTCTACCTCGCATAATGTCTTCAGTGGTTAAGTATTGAATAAAATCTTTAAGTAGACAGCACTTTTCATAATTTTGGGGATTTGTTTGACCTCATAAAGCCGTCTTCTTATTATGATTATCTAGTACCCATTTATTTATTTAAGATGGTGTGCGTCATTGTCAGCTACCATTAATATAAAGAACTCATTGCTGAATGATGTTAATGGTTGTTTGGTTGATGCTTGGTGTACAGGTGAATACTTTTTTACCCTCATATTGAAAGAAATGTTTGAGATTTTCATCCTCCTTCTATATATTTAGTGACAGTCTATGTTCTAAACTTAACGGTGTAGAATACTAAGTTTAACTGGCTGTCCGACTTTACTATATACTGTAGTTAACTATTACTCTTGTCGTTTGGAGTTGATTTTGTTTCGTAATGTGATGAAGATCCTGTTTAGCTTATTACTAAGTAAAGTCCAGTGTAAAAATGTACGGATATGCACATTTGAAGTTCAATAGTATATATAATAAGTAGTAGAAAATTAATTTGAAATTTGCAAAAGAACCTATCCATATAGCTACATAGTATTCGTTAAAAACATTTTCTGTTTCTGTAATAAGGTCATTCTGATGTAGTTATGGGCGCGCTGGTTACACGTAATCAGTCAGAACTACACAAGCAGCTAAGATTCATACAGTATGCTGCAGGAGCTGTTCCGTCTCCATTTGACTGCATGTTATGTCTTAGAGGATTACGCACATTACCAATACGAATGAAAGCGCACATGCGAAATGGACTTATAGTGGCTATGATGCTTGAGAAACATCCGCTAGTTGAAAGGGTTCTACATCCAGGTATGTTACTGTAAATGTTTCTTGAATAATAAGACTTCAGAAGCAATTGTATAGATAGAGGTTAACATTTACATATAATGGTAAAACTGATGCCAATCAGTTGCTTATTCGTAAGATAATATTCCTCACATAAAATCCTAACGAAGATGATGGGTGAATTTATTATTAACTGTGAACTCTATGAATATCTAAGAATATTTGGTCCCGTTATGCCAAGACTATACGGACTCCCAAAATTCATAAGAATGTTCTCCTACGTCCCATACTTGATATGAATAGCTCTCCATATAATCTGATTGCTAAATGGTTAGCTGATATTTCAAAACCCGTCACAAATCACATCAATAAATATAACTCTCTGATTCACTTGATGTTGTTGACTCAATTAGAAATATCTGTGTTAATGGTAAAAAAGATGGTCTTATTGGATGTCACTTCTCTCTTAACAAATGTTCCACTCACGAAAACTGTGTTTTTTTATGTGAATACATTGAAAATAATAACCCTGATATTCGCATCGCAAAACATTGTCTAAAAGAGCTACTTCTACGATGTACTCTCAACGTGCAATTATGAGAATCAAGGGAGGAGCTGACATAGATTTAGATCACCTGGTTGTGGCCAAGATGAAACTGAAGCTAAAGAAGCATTGGACAACTGGGGAAATAGCATTACAAAGGTTCAATACAGCCTTCGAGATACTGACAAACTCAACGAATTCAAGATAACTCTCAACAACGGGTTCCAAGCCTTACATGATCTACTGAAGGAAGAAGGAACTACGATGGAGGAAAACTGGGAAGGGATCAAAGAAGCCCCATCATAATTAATAGATTTCTATCGAAACGCTGCATAAGATTCAAGAAAAGAAGCACAAGAAGACAGCAATCAACAACAGTCGATCAAGAAGAAAGTTAAGGCACAAGCTGAATACACAGAATTAAACAAGCTAGTGGAGAGGAACATTAGTGCTGACAAGTAGAAATATGTGGAAGACCCAGCAACGACAGCGGAGAAAGCTGCAATAGAATGAAATCTGAGACAACCATATGACACGACGAAGAAACTGGCAGGGAAACATAGTGAACCAGAAAGACTAATCAAGGATAAGAGAGGCAACGCATTCACTGAAATTCAAGAATGGAGGGACAGATGGGTGGAGCACTTTGAAGAACTTTTGAATAGACCAGCTCCAGTGAACCCACCGGACATCGAAGCTGCGCATACAGATCTTCCTATAGCTGTCACTCCACCAACGATCGAAGAAATCAGGATCTGAGTAAGTGTAAGAACTATAGAGGCATCACACTACTGTCAGTACCAGGAAAGGTTTTCAATGGGGTGTTGCTGAACTAGTTGAAAGACTCAGTAGACGCTCAGCTTCGAGGTAACGAAAGCAAAAGAGATGGAAAAGGCGGCGACTATAGGGAACACAAGACAGCTTTACAGACTAATAAAAGAAACTGGAATTAATAAGTCAAGTGTAAGTGAGATTATTTCGGAAAAAGATGATACTCTCATCTGCTCCCAGTCCAGGCGTTTAGAACGATGGGCGGAACATTTTAGAGAACAGTTCAGCTGGCCTTCAGCTACTGTACAACTACCCTCCATTCCCAGACAGTGTGAATGGAACATTGGAGTAGGTCCCCCAACTCTTGCTGAAGTTCAAAAGGCTATAGTTAATCTGAAACAAGGAAGGGCAGCTGGTCCAGATGGATTGGCTCCAGAGGTCTTTAAGGATGGTGGTCCAATTTTAGCGATTAGGTTGACTAATATTTTAGCTAAGATCTGGGAATTAGACTTTATCCCATCTAACTGGTCACAATCACTTATCGTCCCAATATATAAGAAAGGGTCAAAATCATCCTACAGAGGGATTAGTTTAACAAACATAGTATCTAAAATACTGGCCTCGATAATTATGAAACGCCTAACTAAGACTCGTGAACTACAAACTCGAGAGAACCAAGCTGGCTTTAGACCTGGTCGTGGCTGCATCGACCACATATTCACCATTCGCCAGGTTCTAGAACACAGGCATACCTATCGGCGTCCGACGATGGTGGTCTTTCTTGACTTAAAAGCAGCATTTGATTCTGTAGACCGCGAGACTCTGTGGCAGTGTCTGTCATTGAAAGGCGTACCTCAGAAGTACATAAACCTTGTGAAGGCTCTTTACTCGAACACTACTAGTCGAGTGAGAGCTTATGGCGAACTGTCATCTACTTTTGCAACTTCAAGTGGTGTCCGTCAAGGCTGTCCGCTTTCTCCATTTTTGTTTAACTTCATCATAGACCTATTGATGGAAATAACACTCTCGTCTACTGAAAACCACTCCTATGAATCCGGTGTTCATCTTGCTGTGCTAATGAGGTATGGCAACCTGGACCGATGCACATATGTGCCTGGTCCTACGTTGTAGCTGACTGACAGCTTCGAGATCAACAGGCTGGATTCTGTAAGCATTGGTTGTACATAGACCACATCGTGACACTACGGATCATCGTTGAGCAATCAATCGATTGGAACTCGTCAGTATACATCAACTTCCTTGACTCTCTCTCTCTCTCTCTTTGTTATTTTGATTGTTCCGTCATCTATGTCATTGGCTTCACTTTATGTCATGCCTAAATGTCACAGGTTAATAAATATATTATTTCAATGGTTGAAATCATTAGTCAGTTGAAGCTAGACGACCACGGAAAACCTGGAAGCACTGGACGGCCGTTTCGTCCTAGTATGGGACTCCTCAGCAGTGCGCATCCACGATCCCGCCCCCCGCGAGATTCGAACCCAGGACCTATCAGTCTCGTGCCATGTGCTTCCAGGTTTTCCATGGTGGTCTAGCTTCAATTGACTCATGATTTCAACCAGTGAAATTTCTAAATATCTCCACAAAACCCATTCTGATAAAAATATATGACTGTAAGCAGATGGTGAGAAGCCACGAAATGTAATGAGTTCGTATTATTCTGCCTCAAGTGTTGTTTTGGCTATGTTCGCATTCCTAAAGGGAACCAACTGCATGAAGTTTATGGAAGTAATTACAAGTGGTTAATAAAGAAGTGGTTAAGATTATTAATATCAGATGTACAACACGTATTTAGGGAACTGACAAGTCTATCATAATATTTAGCACGACAGTCGAAAAAAATTTTGATAATAAATCAAATACTTAAGCATAAAAATACTGCTTCAGTTAAATAACAAAAAAGAGTATCGGCATTTTAAAGAAAAGACATTGGCATAAAGGAGAATATAATAACATTGTGATGAATGCTGATAGCTCCAGTTATTTTTAAAACACATATGCGCAAGCCATGTGGTGAATTCAGTGCATGATTTCAAAGGCTGTGTTTAGAACAAGGGTGGTACGGAGCCCCAAAAAGGCACTGTTTAAAGGGAAATATTTCTTCGCTTACCCCTTTGTTTTTATCTAATTATTTAAACAAGAATTCTCGCTTCACTAAAACACTTAATCACATGAAAAATTAATAATCGATTCATGTGTCACAATTGTAAATACATCTTTAAAGAATAAAATTACCAACGTTAACGGGTTGTTTATGTTACACATATTTATTTCAAGTGAGCGCTGTCAATTTCTGTTTATGCTCTCCGTTTACTAATACTGGTCATTAGTTTATATGTCAGGGTTATTAAATTATTCCTAGTGTTAATTCACATACTAATTAATTAACACATGAAGTACTTACGAATTATTTTTATCATTGCTGAAGTCGGAAAAATAAGAATAGTTATGGTACGCTGTATATTTCCCACAAATTACTTCTATCCGTTCAAGATGTATGGTTAGGTCAACATTTTTTAAATCTAAGTCGTTGTTCCTTTAACCTTTTATACCTGTTTAATTGTAAACAAGTTGATATTTGCTAGTTTTGCATTCGGCCGTTTTTATTTTCAACATTTTTTTTCTGATATTCAAGGCTTAGAGTCATTTCCTCAAAGAGATATTATCGCAAAGCAGATGCGTGGTTTTAGTGGTATGATAACTGTTTATCTACGATGTACTGGGGAACAAACAAAAACGTTTATTACAAATCTGAAGGTAATTGCGTTACCGTATATGGATGATATAAATGTTCTAAAAGAGTTATGAACTCGATAGTGAGAGTCAATACAGGCGATTAAGTGGATAAAATTCATTTTTTCAAATATGTATGTGATGATTAGAAGTATTTGGATTATTATACGTACTAGGAATCCCCAAAATAGCTCAATTTAGACCAAACAGAACTTTGTGAGCACAAACGAATGTATTGTATTTGGAATTCAAAATCAGGCAGTCATCAAGTACAAAAGAATCATTAGTTAATACAAACACAACAACCGCCACAGCTTAAATTGGAATCTAAGTTTCTGCAATCAATTTTACCTTTTCTCGTTAGTTTCATCATGTATCTGTCCAACCATGTATTGGATGTAGACTATGTATGACTTAGAAATTGAAACGGACTCACCTGGATCCTGGAATTGTATACAATCACCATGTCGGTTGTGTACTGAAACCACTGATATCCAGAATTTGAACCATAGACGTCCCAACACTATTCTCCCCCACGAAATAATGTTGGATCTTCATAGCCCCAAGTTATGAATAATGTGGCTTCATTTGAAACATATCTCACATTGATTAAAGGATTCATTAGAGGTGGATTCATGATAAATATGAACAACATTTGATCTGAAACCACACGAATCGTAATCAAAATCGAGCTGATTTAGCACCTGTGCTATGCAGTGAACAAGTTTCCCGCAAGAGACAGATGCAGTGTAAGAACAAATAACATTTGTTATGACATCAGGATGCAATTTTTCCGAAACAATTCCCTCAAATTTATTAAGAATTTCATTGGAGAAGTGTATCACCAGAAAAATCAGCATCTGTCAAAACTGCACCATATTTTCTATCATGATTTGATTCATTCAACACATTTCCCTCAGATTTATAGAAAATTTCATCAGAAATATGTGAATTATTGGGACAAACTGTGGTGTGCGCTACTTATATACACATAAGTACTATATAACGGTATTCAGTAATAGAATGTATTCCAGTAGAGAATAGAGAACGAAAGAACGGGGACGGAAAGTAATCGGTACGAAAATGCAGGAACAATGAAATCTGAGACGATGGACTGGTATTTGTAAAAGAAACAGACAATTTTGAGACAATGGGTTAATATTTTGCAAATTAAGTATTTACTGTATGGTTCTCAGATTTTATTGGGATGTTCTGTAATTTCTTGTTCTAATACATTCGGTCGTCCCACTCGTGTTCTTTGTTCACTACAAAACGATAACTGATACAAAAAACATGAGAGATCTGATGAAAAGGTGATTGACTAGAAGCTTTTATCTCACAATGATTCTGATTTCGTTTGATTCTAGACTGCTTTATGACTATACTGTTTTTCGATATCGTAGAGAAAGACAAATGATCGTTGGAAGCATTCAACTTAATAGGATTTGAATAACAAAGTTTAGCATTACTTGGAGCGAAATGAACAGTAGTATTACAAACTGACTGAATGTGTCCAATTTTACCACATATAAAGCATTTAGCATTACGAAATACACATGAATTACATGAGAAATTTGCCACAGGACAAACATTTACCGAACCCGAACAATAAGAACTGGCAATACTGCCAGTTTAAAGCCCAAAAAAAACTAAATAGAAAATAAGAGGTAAAATTACTCTTATAAAAATGAAATGAATGTACTTCACATCACTGCAAAAATTTAAAGGTTTGGTGGTTTCCGTCTGTAACTTCTTTTTAACTCCCATTCAAGAAACTTCTATCCTAAACCAGATTCAGACTATTTCAGCAAATATTTCATAGATCGATGTCGCATTCTAGTCCATCACACTATAGCTTTTCGCATGATATATACTCTCATTTCTAGGTCTTAATGAAATGGTTTAATTTATATTGTTTAGATATTTGAAGGCTATAAAGATTTATTATTCGGCTTTATTTCTTGATACAAATTTTTCCGGTTGATTATCGCTTATAATCCTAACTTTTTGTCTGAAAGTTTAGATTGAGCTGAGTCTACTGATGCAAACTTTCTGATTAGAGTCTTCGAGATAAATGTAAACTACTGTTGGAGATCTTGGATGTGTTGGCTCAAAATCTGTCTCTATGGCAAAGAATCGTTGACCCGTTCATCCTAGATCTTGAATTTTACCAGCCATAATTTCCCCCTTCGTTTTTTTCAAGGTGTACCCTTCTCAGCATTACCACCATTCCAACTCGTCGCTCATGTAGTTGGTTTCCTCCAATTAATCATTAATGTAACTACGGCTTTCACACTTCTGTTCCAGGTTCTATTTTGACGGTGACTTGATGATTTCGAAGAGAGATGAACAGAGATTTGAGCAGAATTACTTATATTCACGTGATATCTATTTAAAACTTATAACGTTTAAAAAGCAAAATCACGGAACGAGTTGAAAATCCGTGCACAAAAGAATTCGGTTTGGGAGTTCTTGTGACTGCACATCAGCATACTATAGCAGGGATATAAATATATTTGAGACTGAATAAAAATTTTGTAAATATATGTCATACGTGACAAAAAATTGTACAGCAGTTATAGAAACAGACGATCAAAAGGCTAGATATAAGTGCTCACGTAAGTAATGATCAAACGCAAATAATAAAAAGTGTAGTGCTCATTGAGTTAAGAAATAATACCAAAACTAGTGAAGAGTTACAAAACTGAACAAAACGATATATTCAATTAGGAATATTAAAGTTTATCGGAACCATACTAAGCGATAAAATTATCTGAAATTTCCTATACATATGCTTGTATTTTTCAGCTGTTTACGTTAGCCGAAAGTTTAGGGGGTTATGAGAGCCTTATTGAAATTCCGTAAGTCCTTTGTTGAATCTTGTAAAATTTATGCTTATGTTCAGTTTGTGTGCACTTGTGAAGGCGTAATATCAAAACCATTTTTCCTTATTGCAAATAATTTCTTGCTATCGAGTTATAATGTTTAACAGTTCTCAATGTTCCAGAAATTAAATAGGATATAAGTTGATGTTGGTATTCTAATTCAATAAAAAGAGTGGTTTAGACTGCGTCGACAGTTCAGAAATTCCAGGAGAAGCTTGATCATCGATGATCGAAAACCAATAACCTTATAACGACCCTAATTAAAGCATTTTACGAACACGTATTTCCTAACTCCACATGATTCATTCATCTGTTGGATAGAATAACCTACAGAATTCCGGTGTTTTCTTAGGCGAAGTCACTGTTGTTGCTCCAGATGCACAAACTAGTTTGCTCAGAAGCTAGAATAACCTATGCAGCCTTGAAACTGTTTGTTTATTTATTTGAACACATAAGTATTGGTACCAAGGGGCACCGAATGCATATGCGACACACAAGTCACTTGATTTGTGTGTGGACTGAGATGCTGCCCAGGTGCCCGAATCGAGACAGGTGGTTTCCTTAGGGGGTCACACCCGCAGCCTTCGACCCAAAGATCTGATCCATAAGGCAGTGGAGCAACGTCAGGAGATACAGTCCCATGGTAGCCGGTGACCAACAATTAGTTCGTATACCATTTGTTCCCAAAGGATCCTAAAGCCCATATGCACCGTTAGTTGAGAATCTGAGTTTTCTAACTCCATTGGTGGATCCTCTAAATACGCCTTCTCAGTTAAAGTGTCAGATATTCGCCTTTCGTACTCGCGTAAACAACACCCCTGCATCGAGAAGGCTGTGATTAGGAATTCCCTAGCAATGGCTGTGAACGCGTGAACATGTGAGAGCATTCCGAGAGGAAGAACTAACTCTCCTCAACCTCGGTCGTACCAAGGCATTCGGATGTTTGACACTGTACCAGCTACCGAAAATAAAGGCCCGTGAAATAAACCACAAGTATGATCTAGAAAATCCTTAGGTGTTGCTCGGATATCTTCTGAGAATTTAACTGCTTACAAATTTGAACTAATTAAATATTGAGAAGTGGAAGAGTAGAAGTTGTTGGTATGAATTGTTTGGTTCACTTCCATTTGGCTTGGAGAAGTATCGCTTATGACTGTGGCATCAGTGATATATTACAAAGCAAACAATTCACTGGTAACGATTCACTTCAACAAACCAGGTAGCTTCATTTAAACGGCACTATTATTACGCACTACAAAGTTGTTTAACCGATTGTTTTCCAATAAACATGTTATTCCCTGCTGTTGGTTCACAATTTTTTACTCTTCTTTAAACAAAACTCTAATCTACTGTATATAGCTATATTCCGAAAATAAATATTAACCAATCAATACCCCAACCAACGTTTTTGAAAAATAAACATTGAAGCCACTCAAAACAAAGTTTTTTTAGCTCAAAATGTCATGCCATCGTTTTTTTTAATTTATGACGATTAAATGCTAGCACCGATCATTCGGTAAGCTGCAATAAAGCTAATAACGTTATCAACTCACAGCATAGTAACAAACGATTCGAAATCCTGTACAGATAACCAAATAGCACGGGAACATTAGGCATGAATGACGAGGGTATGTTAGTTTTAAACATCATTTTTAATAAGATATTCAATGTTTATTGGTTCTGTTCGTAGAACAGAGCATGATAAAAAGTGATCATTTGCTAACTTCAATGGGCCATCAGTGATTTAAGACCCACATTATACTTTGTAGTATAGAAATTATAACTTACACATTTCGCGACTAACAACTGCTACCCTGACGTTATGGTTATACTCATATGTTATCGTAATCTAATCTGACGAATCCAACTGATATTTGTTCTGCGACTTTACTATACGGAAATTTTCAGCAGGGTGGAACCCTAAAGTAGACAACCACCATAATGCATATAGTTTTGATCTTCTTGAGACGTGCTGGGGGAAAATAATTGTAAAGTATTGTATGCACAACAAGGCGTCTTCCTCGGTTCATTAGCGCTTCTAAAGGCACTGTTTTCTCATAGTCGGAAGTAAGGGCCAGAACAAGTCAACTCTGGAAAATGTAAATCAAACTCTGCTGTGATCTTCCTTTGTAAATAGTAGTGTGTCTCACTGAGTGAATATACTCAACTGAACTCCACGACTTCAAAAAAATTCAGCCACTCTGCGTCGGCTACACCCCAACATTAATTTACATTCTGACTGTAATTTAAACTACTATGCTCCAGTAATAAATTTGAACACTTTCATTATGGTGAAAAGAACTTTACTTACTAATAAACATGCATTTCGGGAAGGACAGAACAGTGAACTATGTAAAACGATAACATAAAGGCATTGTTTGCGATTGTAACAAGGCGTGTTTTCCCATTTTCAGGTCCATTATGACACACGCATCAGTCCCAGAGGAGGTTCGTGAGGTCAACGGGATCACTGGGAATATGCTTCGCTTGTCAGTGGGACTAGAAGATCCGAAAGACCTATCACTCGACTTATATGAAGCTTTTGACAAATTGAACCAGAATTCCAAACCAATATAAACTTGTCCTCTTCAATTATTGATTGACGTTTCTTCAAATAAATTCACATAATGAATACTTTACAAATTTTCATGACTATTTACTTAATACGTACACAAATATCGGGCTAAGACTGATTGGCATCAATGCTACTGGTAAAGAATCTAGTTTTAGCAATCGCATGCTCACGCGCGAAAAGTCAAAACATCTCTGGATAATATACGTGTTAGATAAGTACTGCATTCTAATGGACCGAATTTTATCTGTAATCATGCTGCGCAGCTCTTGTTTAGCGAGCATTCACCTAATAAGCAGCCTTCTTATTGAGTTATGTCAGTGACCAGCTTCATTGTTAATTAGGCCACACTTAACTTATATCTCATTTTCCCGCTAGTGTCAGTTTGATCTTTCGTAAACGCGAACACGAGTGATTGGCCAGAGGTGTTCAAACAATTCAAAAGAAAACCTAAGCAGAATGGACACTGAGGTGTGCCATCGCTTGAACTACAAATATGGTGTCGCAATAGACCAATGGATATGAGATCTGTGGTTTTTTGTACTACTACCCGCGTCATAAAACAATAACCGCCCAACGTTTTCAACCATTGCTAATATCAGGGAACAACGGACGATATGTAAGTCACCGAGATGACATTCGTAGCACACCAAGCTACCGAGGCTAATGTATCAAAGTGGCGATACCAGTTGGGTTGTCGTCACTGTGCCCAAACACATTGTCGAACCTCGGCATTTCTTACGTGGTGTTATCACTGAATTTCAAAACTTTCGTAGACAACGATGACTGAACATGGAGAGCTACTCAGCGTCCTTCACTCCTAACACGTTGTACACTCGACCTTATACAGCCAGACTAATGTCAAGACAGCATCAAAGATTATCACGATTGTGATAACACGCCGGTTCTGCCAATACGTAGGTCGTTTACACTACCCTTCTCAACATTGGAACTCACACGACTACCCAGACAAATGAACCTTTCGACCACTTCTGGAGGTTTACAACCAAGAGAGGGTGCAAACAGACTTGTAAGACCAATTTACATGCCGTACCCACTGCTATCCATTGACAACTGGTCTCAAAGCTTATCATTTGACCGCGAGACAATATGATAGGTGTACTCAAGATCAAAGTCTGCCTCCAGATGGATGAACTACACTACCCACCCCACCAAAGCTACCTCCAGTGATGGGAAAGTTGAAAACAAACGATGGAATGGCGCGACCCCACGGCTTGGATGAGATAATGGAGACTGGCGGTCACACATCCTAATTCTTCCTGAAATACACCTCTATAAGGCTCTCGAGACGTTAGTAGACTCCCCAGACACACCAACCTAATAGACGGCCCGATAGTAAAGTCCTATCCCGTAAATCGACGACGGATCCAGTGTCAAGAAATACGACGGTTGACCGCTCGTCACGAATGACTGTACCCGAGCAATCACTGAAACGTGGTTATGCGATAAATATGTCCACAACCAAGACGGGCAGTAGGCTTCACACCAGTCAGTCTTACGGGTTTTCGGCAACAAACGAAGCATGATGGAAGCCAACTGCTTGAATGTAATCAGGACGTCTTATCGCTCAATAGATGCAGCAGGGAAAATGCAAACGTTCTGAGGACAAGAACGACAATAAATCAGCATAAGTGGTTTTCCTACATAAGGCAAGAACGTTGTACGCCATCACTAGTTAGATCTTTGACGGCAGTCAGGACGGGCTACAAAGTTATAAACTGTCGAAATGCCTCTCGGTCGCATTGTCGAGTGTAAAGTTCGCCACACACCCCTATGATCTAGTAGCAGGGACTAAAGACACCAAGATTCTGTGCCACATTCTCTCTGGCGCTGATGTAGGAATAGACAGTACTCATGATACAACCAACCGGTATAACAAGGAATTTTGCACACATTCTTCGGACTTCCCAGATGGAGCTCAACGTGGCACTACACGGAACTATAACTAGACACCAGTCGAAACAACATTCCTCCAGCTGATATTGAGTGCTCTACACCCGGCTTGAACAACGCTCGAGACCGGCCACATGGGCTGGAAATAAAGAGAATGCTTGAAGTGAGTACAAATAGACGGCCTGGTTTAGTACGTGCATTCCTCCACCAAAGTACCAGAACTGGTCACCCACCCTCGTCCTACTGCAAGCTGCATACGAGGCCCCTAGGTCATTGGCACTGATCGTGCCTGATCGACAAGCCTTGGCGGTTATTACGGGGAAATCACTGTTGTGTAACGAATGACCCTACCCCACCCACAGGCTGGCTGACGCAATATTCATGACGCTTACTGTGACACCATACCCAACTACGCAAAAAATGAAGCCTGGTTGGGTCGAAATATTTGCACTTCAAGGCCTTCTGATTGAGTGACAATTACAGATAAGACAGAAGTAGAAACAGATATTTGAAGAAAACCTTTTTATTTGGCTGCAAACCTGACAAATTTTAGTTGTTGCAAGTACAACCTCGAAAAACGAATACATGGACCATGCTATTGGCAAAATATAGAGCTGTCGCGTAGTTTACCAGGTCAGCTACCCGCCGACCAACAAGATACGCATTACTTTAGCATTCAAGCGACCGCTGGTAGTTCAACAAGCGGAGATACAGAATGCACTCAACCAACTATTCGAACTTACCAGTTGACGAGACACCTGAAAAGGAAAAGAAATAGCGTTTTAGAAATGGTAGAAAAACAATCAGTCCTGTTGAGCAAGATAATCACTTATCAATCATAAACATTTCATCACCTGAATTTAGCAACTCACCACTTGAATAAGGAGACTTGTGGTTACGACATATTCCGTACGATCTGAAATGCAAAAACAAACACTCATATTTGCATCTTGTTACTAGTGCATAATCAGGCCTATCATTGAAATATCATATTCATTAAGGGCTCGAACTTTCATCACATTACACAACTAGCGCTTACCAAATTCAAGGAATTCACGACTGGCATTCAAAAACTGAAAGGCATCTCCACGAATATAGGGCGGTCTAAAACAGAAATAACGACAATATTAGCTGAATGCCCTTGTGATATCAGATACTATCTAGTGGCATTCACTGTTTCATCCACATGTTAACATCATAACACTCCACACTAAAGCTTACCGCGAACTACCTACCCATAGAACAGTCACGACGTGACATGCACGAGAGTGGGTTTGAACAAATACATCTCGGCATGTCAGCTAACAAGCTATACCTCAGCTAAACACATCCAATGCTCAATGTGTTAGTTTATTAATTGGATATTATCGAACGCACCGATCCAGGTGATTAGGCTTAGTAGGTCCAAGAACGTTCCTTCCAAAGTTGCTGGGTACCATTGCTTTTCGAAAACGAGGGAATTTACGATCGACTTTTGTGACTACACTTACAATTAACCTTGGTATAGACAAGACTCTAGATAGTCCTTGGTAGTCTATGAAGTTGTGGCCGGCATATATTTCAATGGATTCGATTGCATTGGCTGAAACTCACTGAAGTCTAAATCACTGAGTTAAGATAATATAACTCTCCAAAAGTGGTCAATGTCTTGATTGCTTGGGGTTGTGTTCCGTAACTCAGTCTTGTGAACAGCGATGGTTAGATCAAACGGTAAATAGCCATCAGGGTATATTAAGATCTCTATTTTTAAGACTTGCTACGTAGTGGAAGCATATCTCAAACCATCCGGTTACTTCTCGTGAGTAATCCAAACAGTAACTTTCTCATAGCAGCATTATAATGAATAAAGAAATGCTTGTTGCAATACAAAGGCCTCGTCAAAATGTCCTAAACCATCCTATCATTATAGAAGTCGCCTTCCACTGTTGGTGAATTGAGACCTGGCTCGCTTACTGTATGAATAGCCAACATATGATTGATATGAGGACAAAAACGCTCCAAACATTGAGAAACCGTGACTGGGTTCCACTTAACACTTCATTATAAACCTTGGACCTAAAGATGTTACAGATATTCATGGCTTGACAACGCTTTCGTTTTTAACACCTTCATAATTGAGGATCCCAATCCCAGTAAAACTAGAAGTCAAGAATCAAGGGGTACAATGATATATTTGGAAGTGAGTCGATATGCCGAGAAGCGCGTAATCCAAGCTGACTAGTTGTCTCGAGGAATGCGAAAAAAAGGCTAACACACTCGTAATCTGGTGCGGATGCATGACCGAGAGCATTCATCTATGCTGTATCTAGTAAAACTAATGAGGTAAGTATCAATTTCGCAGACTTGGGGAACTTCTGTTACGGATAAATCGCCGTTATCAACTCGTCCATGACAAAACGTTTGCTGGCCTCCAGAACGCAAGATAATCTCGGTGCAAACAAAGGCATGATGAGATTCCATATAAGTACTCCAGAAGGAGTAGCATTCTTGTACACAACCACACCTGGTTCTGTTGATAACAGTGTGGTCAGTCTGATTCCGAGTTTGAGTTGCAAATGCGAGAAATCAAGTCGCACATCGGCAATGGCTTTGTGAGAACTTAGCCATGGCAAGAGACAGTCTGTGATCGGTACAAACTTGCAGAAGACGGTAACGATTGTCTGACTTTTGACCAGTGATCCCCGAGGGTCACTCAAGATATCACACTGTGTAGTCAGACGCTGAGTTATCACGCCGAAATCTTCGATCAGCACTCCAATATCCCTCAAACACGTCTTTCTAAGATGGTCTAAATGATGTTAAAACCCATTCCTGATCGAATCCGTGTCCTAGTCTTTCGAAGCCGAATGCATCTGCCAGAAACCATCAGTAATAATCTGCTGCAAATGAGTACAAACCAGTCACCAGTGTTATGACCTTGACGTCTGGTTTTTCTACCACATAATTTATCTACCAATCCGAATACGACTTATACGAATCTTCACACTAGGCCAACCAATGACGTTCAACCGGTGTGGGCAGTTTAGCGTCCTTATTGTTCCTATGTCCTCCGAGCTCTCCCACTTGAGTCCAGAACACAATACCAGCTTCCGTAATATGAATCGAATCAGAGCAGATCGTTTATTTCAGACATACCCGGTTTATATATCAATTAGACAGACCACAACGTACCATAAAATAGAAAATAACATGTGTACACAAATAAGCCAAAAAGTGGTTGTGGACGAGGGGGACAGTAATTAATAGACTGAGCATGGCTTAAGAATCGTAAATCGTACAATAATAAAATATAGGTCAAAATGAAGCTTATAATAAGAGGAATATAAATATACATAATGTAATTGTTGAATAGTTATACAATAAGAATATTTATAGAATATTAGTCCATTAGTAGTCCTCAGGAGTTACCTGTAATTTAATCTTCACTGGGTTATAACACCTCCCCTTTTTTTAAGATTCCAAGTTTAGATTCTGATTTTTTTTAAAATTTATGTGTATCTTTGAAATCTCCAACATTCTCCTCCTCCGCGAAATAATGTTGGGTTCTTATGGCTCCGAACTACAACTAATAGGACTTTGTTTAAACCATGTTTCTCGTATTGACTGGAGAATCCACTAAAAATGACTAGATGATGATGAACGACCTTCGACTTGAGGTCATTACTTTCAAATTCATTATGAATCTCGTTAGCAGATAATGAGTCATTAAGAAAGTCAACGCCTAACAAAATTAAATTAGATTTTTGACCATCATTTGAAACAGCCGACATATTTTCCTCATTTTTATAAGAAATCTCATCAAAATGCTGTGCATTATTATAAGAACCCATATCTAGTACACTGTCATGAGAAATTAGATAATCCAGTTCAATATAACTTTCTGTCTCCCAATTATTTTGAGTAACGTTTGGTACAATTGGGTTCATCGTGTTGCTCCAGTTATTTTCTGAATATGAGTCCCCATAGCTTTCTCGACTAAGATCACGTGGACCACAATTTTGTTCGAGTTGAAGTTTATTTTCAGAGCTAGACAGAACCAGCAGGGTTTCATTTAATTCTGGACTCTGGGCTTCATCTACAGGATCTGACTCCTGATCATCTGGTATTTTCACAACTTCATGTGCATTTAGCACAATATTGTCTTGCTGTGAGCCGGACAATTTACCAGTATTACGTTTTCCATCTGGTATACAGGGATTTGAAACCTCCACGGGATATGCTTCTGAAATGTCCATTACTGCACCATTATCTGTATCATAAACAGATTTCTTATTTTCTGGTTGAGTGAAAAGTCTGCCCAAAACTGTTTCAAATAGTTGTTGTTGCAAGGCTAACATCTGCTGGTGCTGTTGCTGTAATATTAACTGCAACTGTTCTAAAGAAATCGACATTTTTTCTGCTAAATAATAATATTAACTCCAAAAGGAGCATAAAAATTCACATGAAATAAGTCTCGGTAATCGCACATTAGGTATTAAGCTTGTCGATATCTGAAAACATAGCTTTCATATTTTTCTTTCTCTTCATTCGTCTGGCCGTACCATAAGTGAAGTACTGTGTATTCGTTCGACTCCAGAATTCTGGAGTACTTATATGGAATCTCATCATGCCTTTGTTTGCACCGAGATTATCTTGCGTTCTGGAGGCCAGCAAACGTTTTGTCATGGACGAGTTGATAACGGCGATTTATCCGTAACAGAAGTTCCCCAAGTCTGCGAAATTGATACTTACCTCATTAGTTTTACTAGATACAGCATAGATGAATGCTCTCGGTCATGCATCCGCACCAGATTACGAGTGTGTTAGCCTTTTTTTCGCATTCCTCGAGACAACTAGTCAGCTTGGATTACGCGCTTCTCGGCATATCGACTCACTTCCAAATATATCATTGTACCCCTTGATTCTTGACTTCTAGTTTTACTGGGATTGGGATCCTCAATTATGAAGGTGTTAAAAACGAAAGCGTTGTCAAGCCATGAATATCTGTAACATCTTTAGGTCCAAGGTTTATAATGAAGTGTTAAGTGGAACCCAGTCACGGTTTCTCAATGTTTGGAGCGTTTTTGTCCTCATATCAATCATATGTTGGCTATTCATACAGTAAGCGAGCCAGGTCTCAATTCACCAACAGTGGAAGGCGACTTCTATAATGATAGGATGGTTTAGGACATTTTGACGAGGCCTTTGTATTGCAACAAGCATTTCTTTATTCATTATAATGCTGCTATGAGAAAGTTACTGTTTGGATTACTCACGAGAAGTAACCGGATGGTTTGAGATATGCTTCCACTACGTAGCAAGTCTTAAAAATAGAGATCTTAATATACCCTGATGGCTATTTACCGTTTGATCTAACCATCGCTGTTCACAAGACTGAGTTACGGAACACAACCCCAAGCAATCAAGACATTGACCACTTTTGGAGAGTTATATTATCTTAACTCAGTGATTTAGACTTCAGTGAGTTTCAGCCAATGCAATCGAATCCATTGAAATATATGCCGGCCACAACTTCATAGACTACCAAGGACTATCTAGAGTCTTGTCTATACCAAGGTTAATTGTAAGTGTAGTCACAAAAGTCGATCGTAAATTCCCTCGTTTTCGAAAAGCAATGGTACCCAGCAACTTTGGAAGGAACGTTCTTGGACCTACTAAGCCTAATCACCTGGATCGGTGCGTTCGATAATATCCAATTAATAAACTAACACATTGAGCATTGGATGTGTTTAGCTGAGGTATAGCTTGTTAGCTGACGTGCCGAGATGTATTTGTTCAAACCCACTCTCGTGCATGTCACGTCGTGACTGTTCTATGGGTAGGTAGTTCGCGGTAAGCTTTAGTGTGGAGTGTTATGATGTTAACATGTGGATGAAACAGTGAATGCCACTAGATAGTATCTGATATCACAAGGGCATTCAGCTAATATTGTCGTTATTTCTGTTTTAGACCGCCCTATATTCGTGGAGATGCCTTTCAGTTTTTGAATGCCAGTCGTGAATTCCTTGAATTTGGTAAGCGCTAGTTGTGTAATGTGATGAAAGTTCGAGCCCTTAATGAATATGATATTTCAATGATAGGCCTGATTATGCACTAGTAACAAGATGCAAATATGAGTGTTTGTTTTTGCATTTCAGATCGTACGGAATATGTCGTAACCACAAGTCTCCTTATTCAAGTGGTGAGTTGCTAAATTCAGGTGATGAAATGTTTATGATTGATAAGTGATTATCTTGCTCAACAGGACTGATTGTTTTTCTACCATTTCTAAAACGCTATTTCTTTTCCTTTTCAGGTGTCTCGTCAACTGGTAAGTTCGAATAGTTGGTTGAGTGCATTCTGTATCTCCGCTTGTTGAACTACCAGCGGTCGCTTGAATGCTAAAGTAATGCGTATCTTGTTGGTCGGCGGGTAGCTGACCTGGTAAACTACGCGACAGCTCTATATTTTGCCAATAGCATGGTCCATGTATTCGTTTTTCGAGGTTGTACTTGCAACAACTAAAATTTGTCAGGTTTGCAGCCAAATAAAAAGGTTTTCTTCAAATATCTGTTTCTACTTCTGTCTTATCTGTAATTGTCACTCAATCAGAAGGCCTTGAAGTGCAAATATTTCGACCCAACCAGGCTTCATTTTTTGCGTAGTTGGGTATGGTGTCACAGTAAGCGTCATGAATATTGCGTCAGCCAGCCTGTGGGTGGGGTAGGGTCATTCGTTACACAACAGTGATTTCCCCGTAATAACCGCCAAGGCTTGTCGATCAGGCACGATCAGTGCCAATGACCTAGGGGCCTCGTATGCAGCTTGCAGTAGGACGAGGGTGGGTGACCAGTTCTGGTACTTTGGTGGAGGAATGCACGTACTAAACCAGGCCGTCTCTTTGTACTCACTTCAAGCATTCTCTTTATTTCCAGCCCATTTGGCCGGTCTCGAGCGTTGTTCAAGCCGGGTGTAGAGCACTCAATATCAGCTGGAGGAATGTTGTTTCGACTGGTGTCTAGTTATAGTTCCGTGTAGTGCCACGTTGAGCTCCATCTGGGAAGTCCGAAGAATGTGTGCAAAATTCCTTGTTATACCGGTTGGTTGTATCATGAGTACTGTCTATTCCTACATCAGCGCCAGAGAGAATGTGGCACAGAATCTTGGTGTCTTTAGTCCCTGCTACTAGATCATAGGGGTGTGTGGCGAACTTTACACTCGACAATGCGACCGAGAGGCATTTCGACAGTTTATAACTTTGTAGCCCGTCCTGACTGCCGTCAAAGATCTAACTAGTGATGGCGTACAACGTTCTTGCCTTATGTAGGAAAACCACTTATGCTGATTTATTGTCGTTCTTGTCCTCAGAACGTTTGCATTTTCCCTGCTGCATCTATTGAGCGATAAGACGTCCTGATTACATTCAAGCAGTTGGCTTCCATCATGCTTCGTTTGTTGCCGAAAACCCGTAAGACTGACTGGTGTGAAGCCTACTGCCCGTCTTGGTTGTGGACATATTTATCGCATAACCACGTTTCAGTGATTGCTCGGGTACAGTCATTCGTGACGAGCGGTCAACCGTCGTATTTCTTGACACTGGATCCGTCGTCGATTTACGGGATAGGACTTTACTATCGGGCCGTCTATTAGGTTGGTGTGTCTGGGGAGTCTACTAACGTCTCGAGAGCCTTATAGAGGTGTATTTCAGGAAGAATTAGGATGTGTGACCGCCAGTCTCCATTATCTCATCCAAGCCGTGGGGTCGCGCCATTCCATCGTTTGTTTTCAACTTTCCCATCACTGGAGGTAGCTTTGGTGGGGTGGGTAGTGTAGTTCATCCATCTGGAGGCAGACTTTGATCTTGAGTACACCTATCATATTGTCTCGCGGTCAAATGATAAGCTTTGAGACCAGTTGTCAATGGATAGCAGTGGGTACGGCATGTAAATTGGTCTTACAAGTCTGTTTGCACCCTCTCTTGGTTGTAAACCTCCAGAAGTGGTCGAAAGGTTCATTTGTCTGGGTAGTCGTGTGAGTTCCAATGTTGAGAAGGGTAGTGTAAACGACCTACGTATTGGCAGAACCGGCGTGTTATCACAATCGTGATAATCTTTGATGCTGTCTTGACATTAGTCTGGCTGTATAAGGTCGAGTGTACAACGTGTTAGGAGTGAAGGACGCTGAGTAGCTCTCCATGTTCAGTCATCGTTGTCTACGAAAGTTTTGAAATTCAGTGATAACACCACGTAAGAAATGCCGAGGTTCGACAATGTGTTTGGGCACAGTGACGACAACCCAACTGGTATCGCCACTTTGATACATTAGCCTCGGTAGCTTGGTGTGCTACGAATGTCATCTCGGTGACTTACATATCGTCCGTTGTTCCCTGATATTAGCAATGGTTGAAAACGTTGGGCGGTTATTGTTTTATGACGCGGGTAGTAGTACAAAAAACCACAGATCTCATATCCATTGGTCTATTGCGACACCATATTTGTAGTTCAAGCGATGGCACACCTCAGTGTCCATTCTGCTTAGGTTTTCTTTTGAATTGTTTGAACACCTCTGGCCAATCACTCGTGTTCGCGTTTACGAAAGATCAAACTGACACTAGCGGGAAAATGAGATATAAGTTAAGTGTGGCCTAATTAACAATGAAGCTGGTCACTGACATAACTCAATAAGAAGGCTGCTTATTAGGTGAATGCTCGCTAAACAAGAGCTGCGCAGCATGATTACAGATAAAATTCGGTCCATTAGAATGCAGTACTTATCTAACACGTATATTATCCAGAGGTGTTTTGACTTTTCGTGCGTGAGCATGCGATTGCTAAAACTAGATTCTTTACCAGTAGCATTGATGCCAATCAGTCTTAGCCCGATATTTGTGTACGTATTAAGTAAATAGTCATGAAAATTTGTAAAGTATTCATTATGTGAATTTATTTGAAGAAACGTCAATCAATAATTGAAGAGGACAAGTTTATATTGGTTTGGAATTCTGGTTCAATTTGTCAAAAGCTTCATATAAGTCGAGTGATAGGTCTTTCGGATCTTCTAGTCCCACTGACAAGCGAAGCATATTCCCAGTGATCCCGTTGACCTCACGAACCTCCTCTGGGACTGATGCGTGTGTCATAATGGACCTGAAAATGGGAAAACACGCCTTGTTACAATCGCAAACAATGCCTTTATGTTATCGTTTTACATAGTTCACTGTTCTGTCCTTCCCGAAATGCATGTTTATTAGTAAGTAAAGTTCTTTTCACCATAATGAAAGTGTTCAAATTTATTACTGGAGCATAGTAGTTTAAATTACAGTCAGAATGTAAATTAATGTTGGGGTGTAGCCGACGCAGAGTGGCTGAATTTTTTTGAAGTCGTGGAGTTCAGTTGAGTATATTCACTCAGTGAGACACACTACTATTTACAAAGGAAGATCACAGCAGAGTTTGATTTACATTTTCCAGAGTTGACTTGTTCTGGCCCTTACTTCCGACTATGAGAAAACAGTGCCTTTAGAAGCGCTAATGAACCGAGGAAGACGCCTTGTTGTGCATACAATACTTTACAATTATTTTCCCCCAGCACGTCTCAAGAAGATCAAAACTATATGCATTATGGTGGTTGTCTACTTTAGGGTTCCACCCTGCTGAAAATTTCCGTATAGTAAAGTCGCAGAACAAATATCAGTTGGATTCGTCAGATTAGATTACGATAACATATGAGTATAACCATAACGTCAGGGTAGCAGTTGTTAGTCGCGAAATGTGTAAGTTATAATTTCTATACTACAAAGTATAATGTGGGTCTTAAATCACTGATGGCCCATTGAAGTTAGCAAATGATCACTTTTTATCATGCTCTGTTCTACGAACAGAACCAATAAACATTGAATATCTTATTAAAAATGATGTTTAAAACTAACATACCCTCGTCATTCATGCCTAATGTTCCCGTGCTATTTGGTTATCTGTACAGGATTTCGAATCGTTTGTTACTATGCTGTGAGTTGATAACGTTATTAGCTTTATTGCAGCTTACCGAATGAGCAGTTAAATTCTCAGAAGATATCCGAGCAACACCTAAGGATTTTCTAGATCATACTTGGGGTTTATTTCACGGGCCTTTATTTTCAGTAGCTGGTACAGTTTTAGGCTGATATAAGTTATTCTATCTTGCAGAGCAGCTAGTTTGTGTATTCTTCTTATTCACTCAATAACCCTAACTGTTTTGTTGATGTGATTGTATGTCTGTTAATTTCTTTCCCTATTCTTTCTGTGTCTTTGTTAATTGTGGTCTGAATATTATTATTGAGTCGTTCTCGAGCATGCCTTATTGGTTGACTCTCGTTCTTCTCTGCACGTCACTTCGTTTCGCTTACTTCGATTCTTTTCTCTGTTTGTCCGTGCGGATCGATGAGCATACGAAATACTTGTATTCGTAATTCTTTCTCATACTTGGCTTACTTCACTCCGTCATTCTTTAACGCGAATTAGGTCGATTGGCGACATGTGTACTCTGATATTAATGGGTACGCGATTTAACTGGAGGCATATGGAGGACCACTAAATATTTCTTCTTATGTGGACATAGTTTCTGAATACTAAAGAATTCATAGGCTTGACAGTAGTTTATTTCTTCTCTTCTCCTACGAAAGAAGGCTATATTTCAGCGGTAATCCAAGAGGAAATAAACAAGTTGTACGAATGGACTGTTTCGTGGAATTTACCACTTAATGTTGACAAAAGTAGATTTATTCACATTGGTCGCTGCCTTAACTTAAATTTGACTGTACACACACATACACTCAAACCTCTCAACACTGTTCGTGACCTGGGTTTAAGATATAGCAACAGTCTGAACTTTTCTGAGCATATTATATCTCAAGTATCCAAAGCTAGAAAGCTGATCGGATTGATAATGATAAACTTTAATAATATCGAATCGTTATTATACAGAAAATGTATCTTATCCATTCTTGAATATGGTATTTTAGTTTACAGTAATTGCAGACATAATGACCTGATTAGAATTGAAGGTGTTCAAGGAAAGTTCACCAAAGCTGTTCTGGGGTATTCTGATAACAAAGACTATCACTAAAGATGTCAACAACTAAACTTAGAACGTTTTTGGATCAGACGTATCAAATTAAATCTTGTCTTTATCTACCGGCTTATTAACGGTATTTCCTACTCTTCGGTATTCACCCCTTCATACCTTATGATATCATCCCACAATCTACGCAATAAGGAGAATATTCTAGCGATTCCAAGAGCCCACACAAACTTACATCAGAATTTTTTCCTTATTCGCTACTCAACGATGTGGAACAGACTGCCAGTGAACCTCCGTTGCAATGAAACTACAACCCGGTTCAGAAGTCTGCTTGAAGATTTTCTTTCCGAAAGTAGATTATGTCACCTATTGAACATCAGTGTATTCAATAATGATTTATACAAGCAAGGTCCGTCATCCATTTAATTGCCTGAAAAGTAAAATAAAACCTTTAAATCTTTTCACGTCTATTTTATTTTATTTCCATTTATCTTAATATATGAAGTCTGCTTATGTTCGTATCTATAATTATTACTGTTATTAGTATCATTATTGTTCCTCCGACACATTAGATATTCCTTTTATATCTTCTTATCTTAATTCCTGACTGTCCTTTGAAATTAATTGTGACTTTCATAGCATCATTCTTAATTATTATTGCACAAATATTTATACTAATATCCGGTTTCACACTGTATATTATTACATAAGTCTACATGGTATTTATCCGAGTGCATTGAAGGATTTTTATTTTATTTTTCTAAATTGTTGGTTTCCTTCTGAGGTTGATACTCATTACTCAATTATTATTCTTATCATGGATGAAACTTTTCACTAGGTGTTCACTTCTTTTCTCTCTTTCCCCCTAAATAAATATTCTTAAGATTACGAAGTTTGTAATTAAGACAATAACTTGTGTTACACTTAAATTAACTTCTCAGACCCGTTTTATCTTCACTGTGCATATATGACTCATACATATTGATATTTCATTATCCTTTTCACTCAATTGAGACTTTCATCGCATCACTCCAAACTATGACTGCACAAACATTTATTCTAGCGTCATATCTTACTACAATAATAAGTTGTTTTTTCTTAATTATTTTTTGTTACTACTTTGACGATATATACATAGTCGTTTGTTCTTGTTTTATGTTCATAAACACGCCAATTAAACTGTTTGCGTATTTTACGTCTCCTTTATTTCTATTCCCTTATTTTCTCCATTTCCTTCTTTAAACTCAATTCAATATTCTTCTCAATTACACAGAACCGATTTATTATTATTAATATTCTACTATTATTACTCTAAATTTTTTTTAAAATATGGCAAGTATAATGCTAATATTATTGAAAATAGTGTATTATTGCATTTTTTTGAAGAAACCCGAAATGGTTTCTTCACAACAATCATGAACCCATAAGACGTTTGTGAATAATAATAATAATAATAATAATAATAATAATAATAATATCTCCTTTGTTACCTCATTTAATTCCACCCAATAATTGATGTTTATAGTAGTTTTTACATTTAAATCACTGAATGACTAGCAAGATGATTGCTATCTCTTAAATTTAACAGTCATTTTTTAAAATTACTAATAATAGTAGTTTACTCTCAAAATAACAGTCTGTTATATGAGGCAGAAGCCAAACGAAAAAGTCATTTCTGTTGGAATGGACAAGAAATACTAATGAAAAGATAAGGGCTTTTAAAGAATATTTCTGCAAACTGTTTTCCAAGGACGATGGTGAGAGACCAACAACCAGTTACAATGCTGGCTTCTTGCTGATGGATCCTCTTTTATTGAGAAGAAAGTTATCTTGTAAAATGATTGTTTATTTCGGTATTAGTACAATTAACTTCACTACCATAATAGACCTAATCCAAAGATGGTGGATTTGTCATGATGTGACTACTCAGTCTATAAGATCGTACGTGGACGTCAAATTACTGTCTGTACTTACTCGTCCTATGGTGTTAATCAGCTTTCTTGAAGGACACATTTTGGACCAAATGACCACACCTGAAAGTCTGATCTATGCAGTACCGATAAATTTTTCTTTAGTTCACCATTGGTGACCTTCTCTTGAGTTAAATACTGAATGTAAATCTTCTTGGTAATTATATGCTCGGCTTCAAAGATCGTGTGGTTGGTAACCAACATCACTAAATTTCAAGATTACTTCAACACTTCAAGACCAGATAGGTTCAGTAGTACTGGTAAAATTAATCCTAGGATAATGGGAGTCCTGATACATGTAACTGCCGAGTCTCTGACAATACTGTTTGACATCACTCTGAGGCGGTCTGAACCGCCGAGAGACCGGAACGGTGCAAATATCAGTCCGGTTCATTAAGCAGGGAGTAGAGACTTAGTTAGTAACCATCGGCCCATTAGTCTAACCAGTGTAATGGTCAGACCAATGGAGAAGGTTGTTTGGGTAACTATTCTAAACTATTTAGAATAAATAATCTTTTAGACAGGAAACAGCATGGTTGTATGATAAGCCTTTTATACTTGACAAATTTCGTTACAAGGGATGATAAGACTGCTGCAAAAGATAGTAATATCCCGGTAGATTTAATTTTTATAGATATAAGTAAAGCTTTCAACAAATTTTCTAGCCCAGGTTTTGAATTATTGCTAGAAAGTTTTGAAATCCATTTCGTAATTAGAAACTGTCCAAATGACATTTTCAGTGATAGAAGAAAACGGGCACAGGTAAATGGAGCTTCTTTATGATGGATGTTCCAAAACGTGAAGTCCTTCAATTTAAGATCCTTAATTCTCTTCTTTTTTACTTTGTGTAAGTGATTTACTAGCTGACGCCAAGTCATCTGTCTTACGTCATGCCGATATAGAGATTTGGAGACCCACACACTGTACATCAAATACAATGATGACAATACAGGGCTACCTAAACTCACTGGTGGAATGGATAAACAGGTGGTCATTAGAAGTTAACTCTAGCAGGAGTTAGTGATGTGAATGAGTAACTGTGACGGTTTGTATAATCACACAATA